CGCAGCCCTCAGGGTTGGAACACATTTTATCCTGACCTGCACAACGTTTGGCATCAGCTCATATGTCGCCTTTAAAGGGACACTAAAGTCAAATAACAATTTACGTCAGAGTGAAAGCTCAATGTACGACATTTCAAACGACAATATTATCAACAACATTGCCCTACTGAGCGAAAAATTAAAGTAAATACACAATAGCACAAGCACCGCCATAGGACATTTTCAAAATGATCGCGATGACATCAGAAGAACCACCTACAATTAATCACTAATGATCAAACTAACTGCACTAAATAAAGAACCTTGCGTACATCAAGAGACGCAACAAAACGCTCCTTATTCATTTCTGCTTGAGTAATGGAAAAAAGAACCGCCGGACGTTACTATGAAGATTGGCGCGAGTGGTTCAATAATTCAATTCTCGCGTGGTTACACGGGACAGGTGGCGCCATCTAGCGGGGCGCAGTTGAAACAAAACACGTCTGCAATCTAGGAGCTAATGGCGAGGAATTGATCAATGGTAATTGTTGCTGCTGCTACTAGCGCAGTAAATCCGGGCAACGTTGTGCACGGCAACAGTGACGTGAATCGGTTCTGTCGGTCCGCTTGTTGAGGCGGGTAATTTGAAGTGCGCTAACCCGATGCCGACCACTGAAACGTGATTTTCTTTCAAAAATAGGCCCTTCCTTGCAACAAAAATAACACTACGAGGTTTCTGCACCGCTATTTCAACAATCAACGTCGACTTAATAGTTGCCTTTGGTGTTTCTTCAAACGGCGACACGAAAAATACGCAGAACAGATTGATTTGGGAACATCACATTATGTGTAACAAATTATTATTTGGAGCTGCGGTATCAATGCAAAGGAACGGAAACCCTGCCGAGAGTGGTTGATCAATGCGATAATAAAGTTAAGTCACACGCATACAAGGGAATGTGCTCGCCCACCACAGTATTAATCAGAAATCATCCCGAAAGGTCTTCATTCCAAGTTGAACGTAAAATAAAGTTGATAGTTATATCCCCGATAAATGAACACAATTATCCTTTAGGAACAAGTAAGAATACTTGAAACAATATTTACAGAAGAAAAAAAAAGCGAGATTCGCACCGAAGTCTGACACCAACGACACTGCACCACAAACGCCACATGGCAGGGCTGTATAACAACCGCCGCAGACAGCGACATGTTTTTCTAGCAGCCTTATCCTTAAAAAATGGGGGGGGGGGGGGGGAGGAGTAAAACATTCGAAAACGGAAACTCGAACTGACGACTGCGTCAGGACCATTGCTCCAACTGCGCGTCAAGCGCCTACGCCACCAGCACAGCTAGACGATGACGTCTAAAACGACTACAGATTTATGGCACCAGGCCCCCTTATTTTTACCATTACACTACGCTGACGCCCCCCACCCCACCATAGTCATTGCTCTACAATGACGGGGCCGTCGCTATAGCTGCATCGCTATTATGACGAGCCCGGTCACTGTTACGATTTCATTATGCTGCCGGGCCCGCTCACTCTAACGATAGTACTGAGTTGACGGGCACTGTCACCATAGTCACTGCCATCAATATTTTGCATATCACGAGGTGTCGCAACATCATGGAGCGGAAAATTGTCCCATCAAAATTGCGCACGAATTTAACAGTGCGCAGGTATTTTGCCAGTCCAAATGCAGCGTGGAGGCCTCTTATTAGGCTGGGCTACACAAAGAGCAGCACACCAGCAACGTTTTAGCAGCATAACCGAGGTAAGTTGACGACAAGCGTTCCGGTGTTTGATAAGAACCACACGTGAGCTCTGAAAGATGCTGACTTGGCGTCGCGAAAAGAGCGCCGCCGTCTGCAGCGCGATAAGATAGGCCTGATTAACTGACAATCAAGGTTCACTTTTGAAAGCCCTGAAGCCTAGCGTTAATAGCGCTGGGCTTCGTTAATAGCGCTGGGATCCGTTGGTTGTGTTTTATCTCCACCCCCCCCCCCCCCCCTTTTTCACCAAACTATTTTTTTTTAGTTTCACGGACGGGAGAAAAAAAACCTTTGCAATATTTCTTTCTCCCATCACAATGAGATCAGCACATAATGACCAAGCAAAAGCTATGTCGTTCGAAACCACGATGACGTTTTAGTTCGTACTGCGCTCCTCAACTTCCCTGCTGACATGCCCCCATTCGTCGCAGCGTTGCCCCTTCCTATTATGTCAATGTATGAGGCTGGCTAATGTGTGCCGCGTTCTGCTACTTAACACTGCTATTTTCTTTTTTTTTTCTGTAAGACGCGGTAGGTACGATCACAGGGAGTGGTGGTAGTGGTTAGAAGATGAGAAAAGGCACCTAATTTCTGCAACCCGGTCGGGAGCACGGCGCAGTGGGAGTCGATCCTCTACTGGCTAGTTGCGTGCAGCGCTTCGCCCACTACACCGTGCCTTGCCGCTTGCGCACGCTCCGCTTAGACCGTACACAGATCCGGCGAGAAGCCTGTTGCGTTAGGGCCGTTCCACGCACTATCCGCACAGCCGCCACACACGTGCCGGGACTGCTACCGCACGCAAGCAAGGGACAAATAAGCCAATTGGCGACGCTCTTTCACCCTCCGATTGGGTGCGGCAGGTGGGCCGGCACGTGTAAGGGCCTTTAACGCGACGATGCGAGCTTTCTGCACGCGATGCTCTAGCGGTCCTGGCAGCGGACGGAGGCCCGTTCGAGCTGTCGCTTCATGGAAGCGCGCTGCGCTTGCTGTCTCGGTTCCCGCGATGCACAACGCTGAACTCCGCATATCAGCGAGCTGCTTTAGTTTCTGCAAAGCACTGCACGCAAAACACGGTCTCGCACAACGATTGAGGCGACGGCGATCGGCGCCTCAGCGCTCTCCGGCACTCACATCGGAGCAAAATTATACGAGGAAGAATACAAGCAAACCAAGAAACCGACCAACCAGAAGGACGCGATGTCGACCTCAACCTTACTAACGTGCTTTCGTGCGAACGGCACTGCACCGTCGTCAAGGTGGCGCTTTTATCGGCAATATCGAAAGCGGCCTTTCCGTCCGCCGTCGTGTAACGGCAGCCTTGAATGACGCATGACGCAACTGGCCGGCCCTTGTCCCAGCTTGCCATTATCACTATCCGCCATCAGCGACGACGCGTGGACTGCGCACGCTGGCTGCATCCTATCCGCGAAAGGAGAACGGCCATTTACTCACGTGCGGCAAAAAAAAAAAAAAAAAAAAAAAAAACCTTTTGTTGCACAGGTCTGTAACCTTCAACAACTGACCGCATAATAACCAGCCAAGGCGGCTGCTCATACTTCTGCTTAGACAATCAATACACTGACCAATCAGAAAAAGAAGACTTTAATGTTGGAGTCGTCTTGCATGGACGTTAAGGGAGCCCGAGAGTATTGTTTTTCCTAGTTAGCCAAGTTATGCAAAAAATTATCATCAGTTAACATATATGTGAAGTGGTGGGTGGTCCAGAACTTATACGATGCTCAGCTGCTGACCCGAAAGACAAGAGTTCGATCCCGGCGGCAGCGGTCGCCTTTCGATGGTGGTGGAGAGGCCCACTGCACTGCGCAGCGTTAGTGCACGTGATAGAACCTCGGATGGTCGGAATTATTCGAAACCGGAGTCCTTCACGACGGGGCCTCATAGTATGAGTATCGTCGGAACGTGAAACTCCGTAAACCAATCAAGCAACCATTAATTATCGTCTAGGTTAATGAAATTATTAAGCTCGTGGCAGTCGGAAAAGTGCAAAAAATCGTAGCATTTATTATGCAAAATTTCGAAAGCTGGACCAAGCGTATGAGATCGAAACCAGACCGAAACCGGCCGGGCCCCTCGGGAAGACGTTGTTGTTGACGTCAACCGTAAGAGGAAACACGGAATGCCGTCAAACTACGCGCAGAGCATCCTGCCACCGGCGCCAAACAACGCCGTCAACAAGGATCACCGCTGTTATCTCGCAAGCGAACGTAGAAGCATCAAAACAGCCGGTCGTAACAAGCAAGCTTATACAGCAACTGATGAGGCCCTTTAGCCGTATTATACGAAAAATTACTACCGCATTTCTTGCACCTCTAATCGTGAAGTGCGAATGCAAGTGTAAAAAGAAAAAAGAATTTGCAGATGGTAGGTTTATCTCCTCAAATTTAGTAAATGTGAACCCACTTCGAAATTTTTTCCACAAACGCCATACATGGAAAGTGAAACGTGGGAACCCTATTCATTTCGCGCTAAGCGTACACTTGTAAAGCACCAGCCAAGACATGGTAAGCATGGCAAGGCGCGGAAAAACAGGTGGGCGGATGAGGGTATCATGCTCTATAACCACCGTCCAAAAGGTGCGGCAGCATGTGCGAGGGCAGGATGGCGTGTCATTGCCATGTGCTTGGTACCCTAGAAAACATACAAACGAACAAACGAGCAAAAACACCTGAAATGAGAAACAGACCACGAACTCAATGACACTATGAGGGACTGCGCCTCGTAACGGCTACTGGAATTATGGCAACAAGGAATCCCTCGGTTCGCTTATCATTGCAACAAGCGTATAGTCTTCATTTGATTTCGTCGTACCTCCTCATTTGAACGCCCCTTGTGCGCGAGTGATTACACACACACACACACACACACACACACACACACACACACACACACACACACACACACACACACCACACACACACACACACACACACACACACACACACACACACACACACACACACACACACACACACACACACACACACACACACACACACACACACACACACACACACACACACACACACACACACACACAAAGGTGCATAGTTTTTTTTACTTTATTTATTATCACCGTAACCGTTGGTTGTGGGGGTCAGCTTCCAACGGCGGCTCACTATATTACAATCGTGCCTTCGTTTTCTTTACAACCCTTCCTCGGATACATGACCTTTCCTATTTTTTTTGTAATTACTCCACGCTTTTCACGTCTTCAAGCCACTCACTGCCTGAGAAGAGCCCAGAAGTCGAGGTAGTAGGTGATGTTCCTCGCCGCCCACAGGCTGCGGCCACCCTGGAACTGGAAGGCGTCCGCGAAGAGCGCGAATGTGCCGGCCATGTGAGAGTTGGGCAGCAGGGGCTGCCGCTGGGACAGATATGCCATGTCCTCCCACCATTTCTCCAGCTGCAGGTCAACATATAGTCAAGGATGCAGGCTGCATAAGAAGAGGTCCTGCAACCGCGGACTGAAGCTGTTTGCTTAAGGTGTCAATTGGCGTCACGTGACTGTGAAGTGGGCAGAACATTGCTTTAATCGGTGAATAGCGAATGGTAAATTGCAAAACAAGCAGGTAGTACACGTCACGTCAGAAATCCACGCGCCCCGACAGGCTGCAACACGCATGTATGGTCTTTCAGTGTGATCGCGAGCGGGCACGTGGCGGTCTCTAGCGGAGGCCTCAGTTATGGAGCCCACGATGCCGCGGTCATTTGAGTACATTACATCACTCGTAAAAAGAAAAGGAACGATCTTCAGCAAGGTGACTTCCACAATTTATCGTAATGTCGACCTGCGTGCTGCAATAACATGTTTGGCTCGCGTGTTCTCAGGGGCCTCGACTACCGATCGGAAGCGTTTTCTAAGCACGTTGAAAAAGTGTTGCCGAGCGTCGCGAGTTTCTATAACGTGGGCGGTAAAAATAAATGACGAGAGATCACAGCGTGACGCATTCAGCCTACGCATTGCCGCTCTACGTTAAGCATCGCGCTCGGTAAACTCAGCCAAGCTCAGTTGAATTCCGGCAGATTCTATGAGGTGAGCATTTGCTCCAGCAATTACGGTTAAGTATGGGTAGTGCACATCGTGAAGTACACATTAATCCGCTTAGTTGTAGTAGGAGTGACGGCTTCCTGTTACTCTCGCGCACGTTGTTATACCGGAAGAGCACGCATTACGTCTGGATAAGTGAGCCTCACATGGTGACGACACTCGGCGTTTGCCACTGCTTGGACGATCGCGTGATGCGCGAACTACCTTCGACTTGGCATATTTTAGATCGCTAGCTGTACTCCTGCTGCTACTAACACCGAAAGCGCCTCGTTGCATACTTCTGACTTTCCAGCTCTGCGAAAATGCACGCAGTCCAAAGGGCTCCAACGAGTGCAGGGCGTCGGAAAAAATAAACAGCTGCTCAAAGTCGCCTACACCGCCAGAGGTGCTGGCTGCATCAAAGTTCACTGGGGCGTGCGCGCAGGGAGCGCCTCCACTCCCTACAAGGTCGAAGTACGGGGCAGATTAGTAGGCGCGCACGCTTATGGGTGCAACAGGTTGGCTCCCTTGTCTCAACATGTAATCGCATCGCGTATAGATAAGCCATCACATGCACGTTCTTGCCTAAACCAGCACATGTAACAAAGTTGAATCTCTGCAAACGAATGGTTTCGTGTAAAATCCCAAGATTTTCTCCTTTTGCCGAAGTACCGACAACTGCTTCTTTCCCCGCTCTCTTTCTCACGAGCAGCCGGCATGTGCCGCCATTTTCTTCCTAACTTGAAAGATGTGCAAAGCCACGTATGTCTAAGTCAACGAGGTATTAAAAAAATTGCTCAAGTGAAAATATTGCCCAGAAGTGAAGCCATACCCAAGAAAAGATAGCGACTGCGGCCGCCATTCTCACGATAAACAGGCCAACGTACGGCGATTGAAAACGAAGCGTTTCCCTCGCACGCCCAACGAGTTTAATACGGCAACTTTTTCGGGTCAAATAGTGCTCCAAGTGCGTCTTAGTGTTACTTGTTTTCCTTCTAAGTGAAGACAAAGTTTATGGGAGATTCTATCACAAATATATAATATTCCGTTGGGAACAAATCAGGGATGTTTCGTGTAGGGAATTTCGCCCTTTTCGGGGCATTTTCGCCTGTTATTTTGAGCTAAAGAGAAAAAGGAAATCTTGATATTGAAGGGACTTTCATGAATGGTAAAATGCTTCCATGACAACCAATAATTAGCGGTCACAGTGTGCCTTCATCTGCTGTAATTGGTTCTGGCGCATGCACTACGCAAATATAGCGTTTAAGATTTTTTTCTGATATTTACACGGAGCGATCTCTAGTTCACCATTGGTGTGACACTTGAAGCCCGCAATGTGCAGTGTAATAACAGAATATGAATTAAGTTATGTTTTGTTGTGCGGCAGTGGAGCGGCTAGTCATGACTTCAAAAGTCACAAGTGCGTGAGACACATGTAATTATAATATGTTTGTGCGTGGATGGGGGACGGTGGGATTAGTTCTGTTGCACAGAGAAATATGCTGGGAATTTCGTGAACAGGAAAAAAATCCCCGAAATAGGGAATTTTCATGTCTCTGAATGGGAATTCTTCGGCGTGGTACGAAACATCACTGGAACAAGTACCTTATCATTCTTAATTAACATAGCGTTAACGTTAACAGATCAAAGCCACTTGATCTCTAAATGGGCAACACCAGAAAAAAGCATGCTTTCAAGATATTTGGTGGGCAAAAGCTGGCTTCACTTTTCCTGGCAAACTATTGCAGGAGCTTCCACTCCAACAACTGTTTTTTAATCCTCCTTGGTCTAAGTACACTAGCCACACCTCTTTTAGGGGACGCGACGCATCTTTCTCCTCCGGTCAGTGCCCTGTCGTTAGTGAGCGGGGGACTCGTTTCACCAGAAGCTGGCAAAGCGTTATAAAGAACATGGCTGCCGAAACGAACGTTAGCCAATGAGATTCATTGATGGCCGGCGCTCCGATGGTCTCGCACTATCACAAAACAAGCAACACTAAGATATGTTGATTAAATCACCTCTAGCAACGACAATTCATGTTACGTAAGGCTCCTGCTCTTTCTATTTTTTTCTTTGTGATTTTTTGTTGGGTCTTCGACGCACACGACGATAAAGTCATAGGAAGTGGAAACGATTAATACTAGTTCGGGCAAGCAGCCTGTGTCTTGTATAGTCGCGATGACGCCACTCACCCAGTTATTGGAGTGCTGCGCCCTCTGCAGCAGCATCCTGTGGAGCTCTGCGCCGACGCCATTTTCGAAGTCGGTGGCGGTGCTCTCAGTGAGCACATACTCTTCGTCCGAGGCAACCGCACGGACTGCACAAAGAAAAAAAAAACAGCGTTTGGTGAGAGCGGAGACGAACATTACATACTACAGGGTGTCCCAAAGTCATCCGCACATGAAGATATGAGGACCACCAAAACACGTAAACGAATGGCGGATTCAGCCACTATGGAGGGGGGGGGGGGGGGTAGCTTCAAGCAAGACCGATGAGGGGGGCGGGGTCTTGGACACGGCTTTTCACACTTTATATCATCACAGCAGAGTGGATCAGGAAAGAAACCGGGGTTAAGGATATGTTAGTTGAAATCAAGAAGAAGAAATGGAGATGGGCGGGGCATGTAGCGCGTAGGCAGGATAACCGCTGGTGATTAAGGATAACTGACTGGATTCCCAGAGAAGGCAAACGGGTAAGGAGGATACAGAAAGTGAGGTGGGCAGATTAGGAAGTTCGCGTGTATTAAGTGGCAGCAGCAAGCACAGGAATGAGTTGAAGGGCGGATCATGGAAGAGGCCTTTGTCCTGCAAGGGACGTAGTCAGGCTGATGATGATGATCAATTGAAATCCATTACAGCATAAATATGGTTAATCTGTGCTCACAGCTAATTTGTGCTCACAGTGGTCCCAGTCGTTCGTCCTAAACGGTGATAGGAAGTGGACAACAGGCACTGAAGGTACGGGGTGGGGGCGCTGACTTAGGCTTTGGGAGAGAGGACGGCTTCGCCCCTACTGCCAGTCTCTCTGGATCAACCATTGACGCTCTGTTAGTGACAAGGCTCACCGTACATGTCCAGAATCTTCCCCTATATTTCAATCTGAAGACTAAACGAGCCATGATAACGCGCAATACGAAAAACGTCAATGAGCGATCGCGCGATCGAGTGCGTGGATACGAGCGAGCGTGTATGAGCGAAAAACCAGTGCGGTAGTGAAGAGCGTTCATTTCCAGTGCGAGAGGTACTGCAACCGACTCCCAGTGGCGTGAAAGAATACCCACAATTTTTTTTTTTTTGATTGGGAGAAAGGTACCCCCAGCATGGCACTCAGTAGTTTAGATACTCGTCTCTAGAATATGGTAGTTTGGATATTCATCGCCTTCCAAACCTATTTCTTTATTTTACTCCCCCACTCCACTCCTTTCACGATGCTGCGCCACGCTCCCTGTTACCGTGAAACGCAGAGCAAGCACGTTCTCCTTTTCCTCTACGACCACTTTTGTTTCAAGATGAGCAGCGCTTGTGTAAACAAAACCACAAGAATGAGTACACTGAATTCGTATTCAATGTTTGAGAAATTCTTTATAAGTAAAGCATTGCATCAGAAATATGCATGGGCTTTTTTAAAAAACTTTTAGCTGCTTTTCATGGCTGCTTGGAATGAGAAAGTCGCCCACCTATGGGCGAAGATAACGCGCACCTGGTCGAAAATAATGTTTGATTCTCTCTCTCTCTCTATCTTAGCTGCTTTCCCGTACCCTAGAAGTGTGGCAGTTTGGGCTAGTTGGTATGACATGACGATAGTTATAGCGCGACAACAGAACGACGACAAAGAGACAAGAAGGACACGAGCGCTATGGCACAAAGAGCAATGCATGGGTAAGAGAAAAAAAAACAAAAGCACAGAAAAACAGAAGTCTATAAGAAAACAAAACAGAAAAGTAAAAATAAAAGTAATAACTCTACTTTCGCGCACCAAAACCTTCGAGAAACCTTAGTTCCTTCTCGGAACTAAGGTTCCTCGTGTCTTTCTTGTCTCTCGCATCCTTCTCTCTTTGTCGTCGTTCTGTTGTCGCGCTAACTATCGTATTCCCGTACCCCATCTCTAATTTCGGTCCGGGACCGAACAAGCGTCCCCCTCGCAAATCTGATCGGATTATATCACAAGAGGGGGGAGGGGGGAAGGTCTTTGCCTGTAAAAAAGAAACAATAATGGCTCCAGTCCGCTCCGTGAAAGTGGTTGCGCAGAAAAGTACTGCAAAGATACCGCAACTAGATAGACCAATGTAACTTGTTCTTGACAGACTAGGCAATGTACTACACGAAATGACAGATCAAGACAAATGCACTGTAGAATCGCGTTCTAGTATATAGCTCTCAAGGAGTTGTCTCTATGCATCCGTGACCTTTCCGTGTAGCGTTATCAGAAGGCAAATGAAATCCCTTGCTGGGCAGCCTCTCTTCGCATGGCACATTCGGTACAGGTAGGCGGGTTGGACTCCGTGTTGAGTACAGATATACTTCCATATGTTCATCTATGTATTGCAGCTTATAGGATGAACTCTAGAATGCGGTGGCTGAATTTTTCGGAGACAACGTTAACACCACGAAGGTTAAGCTAGCGCTTTCGCCTGTAATATGCGGCTTTTTATTTTGTAATTAACGAAACACTAAGAAGAACTTAGGCGAACCACGGGATCCTAGCTATACACTCTAAGAAATGATGATGACTCAAAAACAAGCCATGTTTGCGTACGATCACGCTTCCAAAACAACCCTCACTTGCCCGCGATCTTTGACGAGAGTTTTTGCTTCCAACACTGCGGACGTATATACTCTGACTGGTCTTTTTCGATGGCCTGCCCAAAGTCAACAGTGGTGGCCAAAGTTCTTGAATCCCACGAGTCGCGAGGGGCACCACGCATCAGAAATGCGGTCAGGCCATCGGCCCAAATCACGGAGGTCTGCAAATTGTGGCGCCATATAAGGGCGAGAGAACAAAATAATAAATAAAAAAATAATGATGTACAAGCACCATCGAGGCAACGCGCCGAAAGCTAAACGTCCACGCCGACGCCGTCAACTCCACGTAACGCCGAGGATATAGGCGCGCGCCGAGTCCGGTCGTTGGACTCTTCAATGCAGACAGCGCATCTGCGACCTTGACAATTCGTTTCAGTTTACGCGCCAAGCACGTGCGCAAGCTACGTCGGTCGGCTCATCGCTGATCCTTGTTCGCCTCGCAATGCCCGCTAAGCCTATAATGACACTCCTCTACGTTACGGTGGACGGGATGACACATTGATGATACAAACAGTGTTTTTACGCTTGCGGCTAACGCTTTTCAAGATGCTACCGTAATGTCGGGAGTCACCCCATCGCTTCGGCGTGCTTACAAGCGCCATCTCGAACGCCAGACACAAACAGCGCACAGCCCCGGAGATACCCTACGGTTGCTATGCGCCGGATGGTTTGTGGAAAGAGCGACACTCGTGAGATCGGGTCTCAGGTGGCGCCGGGCTTTGGGGGTTTCGAGTATCTAGGAGGCGCGTGATCTACTCGGGGGCATTGGACGCTGTCTCGCATCGCAGTACGACGCTTATAGGGCGTTGCCCAGTCATTAGCGTTAAGCTTCAAATAAACCAGTCTTATCATTCAACTCTACAGCGCATAACTATAAAACAACTAGGCGTCCATATAAGTTCTCAAGCTTTACTGAAAGCAATTTTTTATAATTCTTCATGCGACGAATCCCTCAATAACAGCGAAGAAATAACCATTGCGATGCGGTGTGTTTTCAAAAATGTCATCGCCCTAAGGTGGCACGTCGGTTCGCAGTCCTTCGCTAGTTCGTCCACGGGCATATTGGGGTTTCGGAACGAAGTTTCGCAACTGGCATGGCAAGGTGATCCACACCATGCATGTGGGAGCGGTGATGAATCCGCCCAGGCGTGAGAAACACAAACAGAAGACAGTGCGAACATTCAACGATGTCACATGTCTCTGACATATACACACGACATACGTGGCACCCTCGTTGCACAGTGCAACATTATCGTCGATGTTGGCCTGCAGGGTCAGTATTAGCACTGATAAGCCGTTCCTTTCCTTCATCACGCGAAGTCCTCAACTATTTAATAAATATGTTCACAGATGAACTCACTCGTATTCAAAGGTGTGAAATTTAGCTTTAGGCACATGATATACACCACTATGGAGTGGCCATACACTGAAAAAAAAAAATTACACCATATGCAATTTGATACGTCCGAGCGGCACATTCCTCTTTCACTGCGACTCCATCCTAAGCAATACCGTCTTTTCAGTTACAGCCTGACAGTGTTCTTCAGAGCACTGATAGTTTTTTTTTGACGATTCGCAATAAAATTTATTTACGTGGGCATTCCATCGCAATTACATTACAACTGACTTTGGACCGACCTGGTTCTTTCCCAGTTAGTAGCTCTGCATTCGTGTTGCATTTTTTAAAGTCAACAACCGGGGACGTTCCAGTTAACGATTGATATTACTTAAAGGTGGCGTGCATTCATATGCGACCAGCGAGTGGGTCGACATCAGATCGACATCAAAGAAGTGAACGCCGCCAAGGCACGGCTGTTTCGCACAGAACCTGTTTCTTGATTTCCATATACGTCGTGGTCAACGGTAACAACTAAACTTCCCTCGGACAGGCGCTGGAAAGCAAGTCTTCAGTTCTTTCTGCTTTTTATAGCGGCCTCTTGGGGCTTCTACGAATTCTCTCCAAGACAATGACGAAAAAGATTTGAATACCGGCTGTCATTGCATTGCAGCCATCGTTTCGACAGGAGTCTTCGAGGAAATGACTGATACCTCGAAAAGGATTCCTTTTGAATGTCTTCGAGCTTCCATCTACTACGGCCTTATTTGGTTCTCGACATACATATGCAGCCAGTGTACGAACAGCTGAGCTATATGCCATCGCAAGTGCCTCCGGCAGCTATCGGAGAACTATGCCTGCTCGATCACTCCAGAATAACCGACTAGCAGAAGGGAAAGACCACGCTCCTGCGTCGTCTGCTATCCACATAGACTAGCACGTGCGCGTATGTCATGCTCGTGCTCAAAGGGCGGTTTGTCCCACTCTGTTAGCGCAAGAGTAACTGCTTGTATGTTTGCCTAGCACTGTCTACAGAAGCATTTGGCCTTGCACGGCTGTGTATGCACCGCAATAAGATTGGGTCGAGCACATGGCGAAAGTGATGTCTATCGTCGTCGTAGCCTCTCTTCGCCAGGACCATGTCGGTGTAGGCGTCGCTCCGTTAAGCCCATCATAAAG